GCGGATGAAAATGGATGGATGGAGTAACTACGTTGATGCAACGCTTCAGCCACTAGGTGGTAGCAGAGACATCTTTTTCCGAGTTATTCAGCGTGTAGGCTCGTACAAAAAACACCTGGACTCGGATGGAACTGTGGGTAAATTAAAAATGTTTCTGTCACTGTGTAAAAAAAAAGTCACATTAACACTAAATAATAATCTGTTTTGATTTTAAATAGAGATAATCACGTCGCTGGTTGTTTTTTAATCACGTATGAATGATCACAATGTGCTGCTACAGCGATAATTAAATTACTTCAAACTACATGTATATAACTAGTTCAGTTACAATAAAGTAAACGTATACATTGAAAATCCACGATTGTATCGATACTGGATTACTAAATTGTAATCAATGTGTATTTATTTAATGCTTTTTAAGTGAATTTTAGAAAGTGTAAAGTGTAAGTGTGTGGGCACCCACTTCTATACTAACGCATATGTTCACCGTCAGTCTGTTAAAATAGATTTATTTTTTAAGTCAATTACGAAGCAGAAAACCCCCCAAAACTACCATTTAAACCATTTGAACATCCGCGACAGAATTACAGAATCGTGGACACGCACTGTGGCTTCCGTGTGTTCCCCGACTGTGTGAAGTATTTTCTCTTTTAAGGCAGGTGTCCTGGCTGCACCTCAGACATGGTGTTTCTATACGTGTGCTACATTCTCAGGCCTGGTGGAAGAATACACTTTGATCTGTTCATTAGTTGGAGCTGAAGTATTTGGCAGATCAGATAACAGGAGCCATTTTAGGCCTAAAAAAAAAGCCTCGCCGGCGTTTGAAAGCAGATTCTTCCTGGTCAGCCTGGGGCAATGTGGCTTTTGGGGTGGGATTACCTCATCTTGAAAATTCCCCCCATGTGTCCACTTCTTCTTCTTTAAATTCTCCCAAACTGTATCGTCAGTGACATCGGTTTCTTCTTATAGTCGACAATTGCAAGTTATTATGAGATTAAGTATAAGTCGATCTCAGTGGAAACATCTCATCTGATGACTCATAATCATTTTACATCAAACATATGCAGCAACATACTGTACGTCTTCGTTTCGTGTCCTCACTTTGATCTATTTAATTGGTGTTTTTTCACTCTTTTTTATAATTTAATAAGAGAATGCATGTGGCTTTTGATCATTGAGTAATATGAATGAAGTTGTGATATCGCTCACACTTTCGGCTACAATTTCGTTGTACTGCTAGCACAATGACAATAAAGGCATTCTGTCTCACTCACTCACCTCCTCGCTCGCTCAGGTGCTCTCTCACTCACCTCCTCGCTCGCTCAGGTGTCGTACACTACGGGGCGCATGCGCAGTACGCAGTCGTCAGGTAAAGCCAACAATGTAAAACTGCACTGGTTTCACTCTTTGGCTGCGTCTCAGTGGGTTTGCTGCGACCGGAGCCTTTCAGATGTCTGTGCTGGAGAGGATAGACTGGAGGGTGAGTTTACACCTCGGTGCATTTATTCTACTTTAATTCCCCACCACCGAGCTCACATGTATCGATCATTCGTCGGTATTTTCCCGAACACCTGTTTTCCCCCCGGTGAGCTCGTTCACCAAAAAAATAACGTCAGTAAAGTCAAGGCTCTGCTGGCTCTAGAGTTTCGACTAAATCGATAGACATCGAGTTATTTTTTTTTATGAAGCTGCAACTAACGAATATATTCACTTTATTCTCTCGATTACTCGACAAGTCGTTAAATATAGTTTGTAAAATACTGAAATAGTGCAGCGTTTGCATTTAAAGCTAATTTATATAAAAATATTTTTGTACGTTTTAAATAATAAATATTACATTCACTGTTATTTAGAAGCGGAAACAAAAACCATTAAAAACGTATTTAATAAAAACTTACACCAGGATTTATCAACTAACTGACAATAATAAGTTGCAGGCCGACTGGATGATGCTGCTTCGAAATGCAGTTGTTGACAGAACGAAATCGCCTCGTATAGTTTATTTAAAAATACCCGTAGGTGTGAATAAATGTGTGTATTTCAGTCGGCTTTGAACCGACACGAATTTGATATATGCAATATATATATATATATATAACTATATATATATATATATATAGTTATATATATATATATATATAACTATATATATATATGTATATGTGTGTGTGATATGTATGATATAACATGATATATAACATGATTCGCTGTGGGCCAATATGAACGTAGAACTGAAATAACCAAAAGCTGTTTGTAATTAAAATCCATTTTAAATGAACATGTTGATTATGTGTCCACTAAAACGTTTATTTTATTGTATTTATTTGTAGATATATTTTGACCGTATTTGTCATAACGCCTGTTACCACCACTTGCACCTAACCCGCATTTTTGACCTACTCCACCGCCAGGCCTGACGTCATTAACCTCCAACGTAAAACATCTAATCAGCCTAATCAGCGTTTATTGAGCTTCTGCTCCACATCACAACAAAACCAAGAATGACGGGGAAATTTTTTTTTTTTCCCCCGTCAGTTTACATATCGAGGACGGACGCCACAGGCTGTAATCCTAAACGACCACGGTCTGTCAATATTCAAATCCAATAATCCAACTAATCCATTATAGATACATCATAATCTGACTGTACATTTTCTTGGTCAGATTCATTGCAACGTGATCGATTTATACGATATGAAAATTAACTTAACAGATAGTCGTTGTCTCAAATGAATAATAATAATAATATAATAAAACAACTTATCTCTTTTATGTTTGATGCATATCTAAGCTTCAAAGCAGCTTTGTTTTCATGTGCTGCAAAGCTCCACCAAAAATGCAAATGAAGTCAAGAAAGAGTTGTTTGTTGAGCTCCTTTTCAGCTTTCCAGGCTTTGGAGACACTGATGCAGCTAAGCCCCGGGGCTTAGTGCGGTTTAAAACAAGCACTTAAACATGCAGCACCTTGAAAAGCCGACCATGCAAGTATGGTTTTTTTTTTCTTAAGATATCCCGATTCACCAACTAACGTCAACACTCTGGATCAACGTAAAATTTCGAATAAGATCAGAAAACACGGGGAAGACGAGCGCTTCAGTGCTGTGTGAGTAGGCCGTGGTCTGAACTACAGAAACACTCAGTAAAAAAAAAACTTTTTAATAGCTACAATGAAAAAAAAATTAAAAACAGAAAAAGTTTTCAGTTCCACTTCGTACGTCTGTTCACTGTGTTGCTGCCTGTCTTGGCGTGAAACCTTGTGCAAAAGTTTTAGTTTTTTTTTAACACTGTGAGACCTTTCGGGTCAAAACAGAGTTAAAAAAAAAACAAAAAACAAAAAAAGATTAACTGCAATTCAAAAATAAAAAATAAATATATTTACTAGGAGAGGGAGACCACGTTCAGATTATTAAAACGAACAACGACTGTATCTGTAAATCATCATTTACAATTGTATTATTGTTTTTTAATATTACTAAATTCATACAAATTAATCATTAGTTTCTGCATTTCCATTTTTTTAAACAAATAGAGGTGACATTACGAGTGAATTTGATTGAAACTCAAATGTCGATTATAATAATATTCATGTTAGAATTATCCTTAAAAAAGGGGGCTTAGAGTTGCTGGGGTTTATCAAATAAAATCATAAATAAACCAATGAGTAAAAAACAGCCTAAGCAGACCATAATAATCGGTGGGAGACTTCATTCATTCGTCACGAGCTTTGGAAAAGCGTGAAACCCCTGCAGCTGTGAACTTCTGGCACCGCACAGACGGACAGAGTCGTGATTGGACGATTGCCCCGCCAATCACACATTTTTTTATTTGACATCATCGGCCAGGGCCACGCCCACTTGTGCAGAGCCGCGCAGATATAGAAGTATAGTCCTCAACTTAGACACTTAGACTGAAGGTCGCTGTTTTGTCCATCAGAGGGAGTCAAGCTTCTTAAATGCGTCGTTTTCCGCGCGCAGCCCCACAACACATCCACACAGCGCGGTGGCCGGAGCGGGTGGGGGGAAACTATTACTCTCCAACGAATATTTTCTCCCGCAGTGGCTGTAGAAACTCATATCTGTGGTCGAATAGTCGTTCCGTCAGACACTTGATCGAACCCTACAGCGTTTCTAGCCACACGTTCACCGTCAGCTCTTCTCAGCAGCAGCAGCAGAGGAACAAGAAGGTTCATGAACACCAGGAAGTTTTGCCCAGCTCTGGATTAACCAACAGGCGATCGTATATTTTTATTTTTTCCCTTTTTAAACCCTTCTTTGTTTGAAACGAGGGAGACGTTATTTTTCTTCAGCGACAATGTTATGGAAATTAGCTGACAACGTGAAATATGAGGATGACTGTGAGGTGAGCTTTGGGGAGATGACAGTGAAATTCGACCGAGTCCTGACAGCTTCACTTAGTACTACAGTGATACTACAGTGGTACTACCCGACGTATTTTACACTTCACGGTTTTGATATCAAAACAAAAAACGAAAACGAAAAAAAAACCCCATCTGTAACAGGGGAAAGAAAATAAAGAAATGTATATAGATATTTAGTTAATGTTAAATTTAAACAAATCGAAACGTAGTGTTTGACTAAAAGAGAAATTAAAAAAAAGAAAAGTTAGAAAAATATTTTTATTCTTATAGAGCGCGCAAAAGTTGTCAAAAAGTTTTTTTTCTACCAAATACGTGAGTAAAACCACAACTACCAAAGTCAACATTGATTATAAAAATAATAAAAGTATTCCGGCATAATAATAGCAATCGTATTTATATTTGAATAAATTATTAAAATTAATAATATAATTTGTGTACATTTTTCAGTAAAAACGGTTATTGATTTTGCAGTATTAAAATTAAATAACACTTTTTTTCTTTTACAATGTTTATATAGAGTATTTTTATCCTGTCACGTCAGCCCAGAGGCAAAACTAGTGACTGACACTGTGTAAATTCCCCGCGGGGACAAAGTTATTCCCACCTGGTAGACTGTTGTCATCATCTCTCCTCCGTCCTCCAGGAAAGGCACGATGGCAACAGCAATGGGAATCCCAGGCTGCCTCACCTGCCAGCGGTCAGTCAGCACCTCTACAGTCCGTCTCCGGCGCTCTCACACTCGGCCACCTCGGACTTCCAGCCCCCGTACTTCCCGCCTCCATACCAGCCCATCACCTACTCGCAGTCCGGCGACCCCTACGCACACCTCGGCGACCCCTTCAACATCAACTCCATCAACCAGTCTCAGTCGTTGAACCAGCAGCAGTCGTCGTGGCCGGGCCGGCAGGGTCAGGAGGCCCTGGGCTCACACGCCAGGGCTGGACTGGCAGGTCAGATCCTGGGCCTGGAGGGAGGCTCGTCCGGGCTGAGGAGGGAAGGGTTCCGCCGGCCGGAGCTGCTGCCCACGCACCCCCACAGCCTGGACTCGTCCGTGATCGGTGACAACATGGGCATGCACGACATGGGCCACGAACTGGACGACGTTCAGGTGGGTTTGAAGTGATGACCTACGAGATTCAGACAGTCACAAAAACTGAGGGACCGTGTGAAACTTTACAACATGCCCTAATAATTGATTCCATACAATTAAACATTTCATACTCAAGAAATGTTTTCTAAAATACTCTGATGATAGTGATTTAATTATTATGCTAAGTAATATATATTTCTATTACATAGATATTGTATAATTGGCATCACTATAAGACTCTTCATTTTTAAATTGTAACAAAAAAGGTAAAAAAAAAGTAAGATAAGTAGACAAAACATAAGAAGAAAAAGTAGACATGTATGGTGATTAGGATCTAAAATCTTAATGCTTTCATTTGTCTTAATTGTTTCATTTGTCAATTATGAAAATCATTGTTTATATTTTTCCCCCCAGCATGTTGATGACCACAGTATTATTATGGCCGACCAGACAGTCATTAAAAAAGGTGAGTCAAGCTCATATTTATACTTCATTTAACCAGCAGTTCAAAATTAAATAATTATGGTCTAGGAAAAATAATGGACTCAAAAAAGTAAACAAATATCACCAGAGGTTCAAGTGATTTGTTTTTGTTCAAATCAAAAAAGCAAAAACATTCTGTGAAAACTCTACTGTTTCACGTTGTTACTATGTGAAACTGTCAAACCTCCTGGTAACTGTCCCAGTGTAGCTTCAGCAGAGGAGGAGTTTGTTGCTGCTGGGATGATCTCAGAGCGACGAGCTGCACTTCACACCACTAGTACTTCTTGTGTTTGTTTAGCCTTGGATTATCTCTTGGGCTGGTTAAGCTCCCTGGTACAGCTTTATTCAAATCTGGAAATTTACTGGAAATTATGACTTGCTTTTCTCACTGCAGCATTTGGCTCAGCGGAACCAGCTTTTTGTTGGGTGTGGCATTGAGCTCGCATGTGAAGGAAAGCTTAGTAGAATGTTGGGACACGAACTGTTTTGAGGGAACTTTCTTGCTAACTGTGCTGTTTTGTCAGCGTGGCTCCTTCACACGGACTCTGGGTGTTTCTGAAGTGTGTGTGAAGCAGTGACACCGCTGTGAACGTTCAAAAAGGCCACGCGTGCACCACAATAAACCAACTAGTCTGCAGGCATTATATAAATCAGCGAAGGCTCACTCTGATGGTTCCATGCTCAGGGTCATGCTATGGGTTCTCCATTTGTTAACAATAGGGTGTCATTGCCCAACCACGTGCCTCTGTGCCCTGTGTCTCAGGGTTAGGGCTACGAGGTGGTGAGAACTCTTACTGTTGTGGTGGACGACATTAAAGATGGCTGATGTTTTTAGTGTGTTGTAATGTCTTACTTGTCCTCGGTTTTCCTTCCTGTCAATGTCTTTGTGGGCGGTTGAAAGTTCTGAATCATGCAAAAAAGATTTTTAGATAAAAAAAAAAGAATTTGGGTCAACTATAAACAGGACTCGACTTCCCTCCGAGGAGAATCTGTGGCTTTTTAATGAGAGGTTCTGTGTATGTACTGCATGTTGGGCTGTTTGTTAATGATGTTTGGCAGCAGAGCTGTTAGACCATTAGTCAGGGAAAGTATCACAAAACCTCAAAAAAGTTTTTCACAAAATCAACAACAGTTTCCGTAAAAGTTATAAATTTCTTATTTTCTCAGTGGTGCGGAACTCTGTAAACAGTTCTGGGAAATATATCAAATAAAAACAGATATATTTCAAAGATGAGGGTTGTGTGGTTTTTAACGTCAAGTAAAGTACTGTAAATACACAGTAGTACTACTCAATAGTGTATGAAACAAAGTCGATGTCAAACAAAGATGTTGTCATTTAAAAAAAAAAAAAGTTTTCTCCTTAACAACCACAGCATGTTAAGACACCTATCCGACCGCTTTGACAGGTTTTATTAACATATGTTTGTCAATCTGATCTGTGCTAGAATTTATTTCAGGTTTTTATATATCAGGTTTTTGATTTCCTCGAAAAAATAGAAATCGCCAAAATATATATATATTGTTTTTAACCAAATTTGAATGGAATTCTGTTTCATCACTAAGATGCATCAGAAATTAATTATAGCTTAATTATACAAACTGAGACATTTTGTTATTTTCATAAGTAAAGTTTTTTTTTTTTTAATTTTTATTTCGGGGACCTTTTTTTCTACGTTTTACCTGGTTCAGTTATGTCATATTACTTCTAAAATCTGAGCCTGTTTCTGCTGAACTTTGTTGAAGTATTTTATATAAAGAACACTCCATCGTCTGCTTAACATAACTCTACGTTGGCTGCAGCAGTCATGTGTAAAGCACATCTAGATATGTCACAGAGCTGCTGACTCAACCACTCAGAAAAAATATTTTAAATATTTTTAAAAATATTTTAAATATTTTTTCTGGCTCTTCCACTGACCAACAGTGTTTGTTCTCACACCATCCAGGTCCCGTCACCCTACCCAAAGGCAACTCACTGGGTCTGCCCTTCCAAAAAGAGTCCCTGCTGGGCATGGTGTCGAACCCCACCGAGGTCTTCTGCTCCGTACCGGGCCGACTGTCCCTGCTGAGCTCCACGTCCAAGTACAAGGTCACAGTGGCCGAGGTCCAGAGACGTCTGTCACCCCCGGAGTGTCTCAACGCGTCTCTGCTGGGAGGAGTTTTACGGAGGTCAGGAAAAAAAAAAATTGTCAAGCTGTTATAAATCTGAATACAATTATTTAAAGATGGTCTCAGTTAGTCTACAGGCCACGATGGTACTTCCACATAAAAGTCATATGCTAATCTTTAGCCTAACACGGTTGGCTTAAGGGAAGAGTTTTCTTAAAGCTGCAGTGGCTTTGACTTGTTTGTGTAAAGTTTAGTATATTCGTTGTTTGACTTAGTTTTTTGTGTAGTTTTTTGTTTTTTATATATATATATATATATATATACACACACATAAATACTGTATATATATTAGTATGGAAACCTATTAATCTTAATTCTTATTTTATTACCATTCAAAGCTAAATCTTGAACCTCAGAATACCCACTCAAAGTGTCCCCAGTATTCTTCCCTCCAAAACATATCCCTATAAGTACAGATTTACCAGTACAGACACACACAAACACACATAATCGCTGTGTCATTTTAAGTAGGTCATATAGCCACAGAAAAACTGATTGTTATCTGAGGGACGTGGGTCGGTGGGGTGAGGGGAGCGGAGGCACATGTCCCTCTAAAGATGCTGTGTTTATTAGCTTTCCTGGAAGTGGGGGTTAGGGGAGCGTCCCATCATGCGGAAAATTGAATGGGCCGTGGCAAGTGCACAGTCAAAGTGTTGCTGCGGACACATGTATGAACGATTTCTTGGCTATGCTTTCCTAAGCTAAAGCATCAGTCGTCTGAGAGTTTTTAGGTCAACATGGACGGTTTGTGTGAGTTGTGACATTCCCACTTCATGCATGGAAATCTGTTTATATATTATTTTTCTTTGGATTTTTTCTCCATGTGTTGTGTTTGCAAAACAATAGATAATCTGTATTGCTTTTTGAGTAACTGTACAATAAACATTAACAACAGCAAGAAAAAAAACAACCTTTTTTATATATATTGTTCTGTAGAGCTAAGTCAAAAAATGGAGGACGCTCCCTGAGAGAGAAGTTGGACAAAATTGGGCTCAACCTGCCTGCAGGAAGGAGGAAGGCAGCCAATGTCACTCTACTTACCTCACTGGTAGAAGGTATGTCCTGTCACTTAGTCAGGCCCTTGTCACACTCTCTCATGTGTAATTGCTGTTTGCACTGGACTGGAATGTGGTTCTGATGGTGTGAGAATTGTCCATCTGTAAAACACACACAGAGACGCGGTGCCTCGAAATGAAGACGACTCTGAACACTTGGCTTTTTGTAGAATACAAACTCAGTTGGCTTTCACATTTTTTAAATAACTTTGACAAACATTAAGTAACTTAACTACGATTAATAGAATAATAATAATAATAAAAAAGTCATATCACTCTGTATTTATTTATTTGTTTTTAATAAATCTTCAGGATGGAGCTACAATGATCCCTAATGAAGGGACCATCCATAAGTGATTCTTCTTTGTTTTCCTCTAAATCATGAATGAAAAAAAAAAAAAGTTTTTACTTCCTTTACTGTTGAGCTTGTATTCTTTTGTGAAAACTGCCAAAAGTTCCAAGATGGAACCACACGTTTGACCTGACTAAGCTTTACTAAATCTACATCACCAGTTACTTTAATCACATCTACCTGCCACTGGCCCTGGCAGTAAACTCCTTTTTCCCACAAATGCTTCCGACATTTCTTCACAGAGAAACAAGGCGATGAGTTTCTGTGTTATTAACAATCCTCCAAAGCTGAATCAAGACTTTCATTTAGTTTTTTTTTCTTATTGCCTGGAAGGGGCAGCTGACCATCAATCCTGTCCTTGTGAATATTTAGTTGCTGGCGTCTCTGGCAGGATGATGTGCCTGTCCATCAATATGTGGTGCAGTTGGTGCTGCAGGCTCTTTGCGGTAGCATTTATTCAGATAAAACGATGTATAACCATAGGAAGCAAAACAGCCTGGAGAGAGAAACTTTGGCTTCAGTGTTTCTTCTTCTTCTTCTGGAGCTGAAAGGCGCAGCGGGGCTGATTTCTTTCTGTCTCTTCACGATCTTTATCATTATGTCCGTAGATGACGACAACTGAGTTTTTAGTTTACATTTCCTCTCCCACTTCTTGCAGGTGAAGCCGTTCACTTAGCCAGAGACTTTGGTTACGTGTGTGAGACAGAGTTTCCCGCGAAGGCAGTTGCCGAATACCTTGGCAGGCCGCACGTAGAACGCAACGAGGTCAATTCTCGCAAGAATATGCTTCTCGCTGCCAAGTAAGTAATTTCTGCAACTTTGTCATTTGTAAATTACTTAATTATTCAATTTGATTTATAGTTTATAGCTCTGCTAACTCCCTGTGTTTTTATACGTCCTACCCACAGGCAAATCTGCAAGGAGTTCACCGACCTACTGACTCAGGATCGCTCACCTCTAGGAAACTCACGGCCGGCGCCTATTTTGGAGCCTGGGATCCAAGGCTGCCTGACCCACTTCAGCCTTATCACTCACGGGTTTGGATCGCCGGCCATCTGTGCAGCCATGACCTCTCTGCAGAACTACCTGAACGAGGCTCTCAAACAAGTGGACAAGATGTATCTTAGCTCCGGGGGGGACACCCAGGGGTCTTCAGAGAGCGGAAGCAAATCGACCGACAAAATGGACAAGCACAGGAAATGAACGCTCAGAGGATAATCTCTACGAACTGGAGAACCCACCTCCCCTGATCCCTTAATCAGGCTGTCCTGTCTGCTCTATTTGGACGATTTTTTTACATCAACATTTAGTATTGTCATTTCTGAGAGCTGACTTAGTGTGTGACGGTTTATGCATGTACTGTTTGACCCTGACGTTCATTTTGTATTATATTTTCTAGAAGTTAAGGATTTGTAAAAAAACAAAACAAAACAAAACAAACAAACAAATAAAAAAAAAAAACGTGTCCCAGCTGGATGCAGACCAGATCGTCGGACACCTACGGTAGAATTTCCATGGACCGACCCTGATGGAAGCGCCGCACGTGAAGTCGTAGTACAGGACACGCAAAAAAAGGAACCACTATGCAGTTCTAAACAGTTGCCAATGTGCCAGTGACACGACCATGGGACCTGCGTTCTGTTGACAAAAAGAGGAAAAGAACAAAGTGCTTACTGTTCTTTTTTTCCCTCCCTGGAGGACATCATTTCAAGATGAGTCGCTGTGGCTGTGAATTCCTTTCAGCTTCCCCCCTTCTGCTCCGTCTGGAGGCAAATCCACTGATTTCCTGTGTTTTAAATGGACTCACAGAGGACATTTTTTATATGAGAAAAAGAAAGAAAGAAAGAGAGAGAGAGAGAAAGAAAGAGAGAGAATATTCACTTAATTTTCCTTCCTTTTTTTGTGTTTTTTGTTTGTACGACCACATCAAAATGGCTCCAGTGTTATTGTGCTTTGTTCAAGAGAGATAATTCAAATCTTATGTAAGCCTGAATAAGAAAAGACCAGTTTTGGGTTTTTAGGCCTGTGTTTGGTCAAACCAGTGTCTTCAAAGTCTTTGTAAAAGAAGCCTCTCCAGTGTTCATGTGGACTTCAGACAGAGCAGTGCTTCCACAGTCACTGCTCTCTTTTTAAGCCTAAAGTCAGAACATGCCTTTTTGGTATCTGTTTGTTTTTTTTTCCCTTTCCATCTTTTTTTTATTTAAACGTCCACATCAATCCACCAGCCACATCAGTCCTGCCAGAGAGAAGGTGTGTTGTTTGAATGTGTGTAAATGTAAATATTTCTTCCTCTAAAAAATGAACTAGACATTAAAATCCATACTTAATAATTTATCCAGCGTCTTGTCCTGCATGTAAATAATGTTTGTTTTTTTTTAAATAAATTTCTTGTAAATTAATTGGCTTTGTAAATGATGGTCTCGTTTTTTGTTTTTTGTTTTGTAAATAGGCAGGAAATTCCTTCCAACAAATTAAGCTACATTTTTTAGAGTTTTTCAGAAAATACAAAAAAAAAAACTAGCTCATACAATCACACTCTCGCATGTCTATTAAAAAGAAAGAACTTTTGTCTGGGAGTATTTCACAGATTGCGCTTCAGTCATGAGTTGGAAAAATCTTCTATTAATAAACGGCAAAAAAAAAAAAAAAACCCTGACATAAATGAGAACAGTAGTTTTCATTATCTGCCCTGACATCATAAACAGACTGTGTGGTTCAGTGAAAACATAGACTTAAAAAAGGGCATCATGTGACAACAAAGAGAGCAGACAAATGAGTCATTCATGTCAAAGTCATCGTCACTGGGTATTTAAAACTTTTCTACATTTTTTTTTCTGAATTCCCTTTAATTTCATTATTTGATACGTAGCTCCTGTCTCCTCTGCAGGTGTGTTCCCCTGTGAAGGTGTAGCTCACGTATAGAAATGTGGCGCTGCAGGTTTGACTCTGCAGATTATAATTCTTTTGATAATTGTGAAAAACAAAATAAGGCGGTCAATAACAGTCACTTCAGTTCACATTCTGCACAGTGACCATGCTTCGCCTGACTGGAAACTGCTGAATTATTATTAAGTTGTTATTTCTTTTTGTTGTTGTTGATTTTGAACCATAGTGACCTCTAAACTAATGCTACAATAACTGTTTGTCCATTTAGTAAAAGTAGATCTATAAGAAAAGTATCACCCGAGGAGGAAAGTGACAAAACAATCTCCCCACGTCATCGTCATTAACAGACATTCTAATGTCATGGTTCAAGAGAAGATGGGGGAAAAAAATTTGGCTTCACATCGAGAACAACAACTAAATCCTCAGCACCTGAAACTGATCTTGTAAAGTGATTTCCTCTTCTCAGTTTCTTTGACAAAGAAGAAAGAAACCACCAACTTTTCACTTCACGTAAATAACCTGCTGAGCGATCGGTTGGTAAAACTAGTCTTTCACGCGGGCCAGTGCGAGTGAATGCTGCAGAGAGGCATCAGCAGCTGAGGTAGAGTGTCATCATACCTTGCAGTTAAACAAGTATCAGCCTCTCCCCTCAGAACCTGTTCAACCAGACCTGTCAACCCGTGGATCACTGCCCTCACCGCAGTTGACTTTAACTGCCTTCAGTTGCTCCTGTTGTCTGCCTGGGCTCTGAGAGGGGAGACAACGGCAGTGAGAAAAAAAGGAAGTATCAGGGGAGGACAGGGAGAGAAAAACAATGATTTCTTT